TATTCTCTGAACATAACCTGCTCCGGACTAGGTTATGTTTCAGGGTTAGCTTACTTCAGAGCTATCAGCGTATGCTTGACCGTGACCTACTGACAAGACTCCAGTGGGCGTGACAGATTGCGCCCAATATTATATACTATTACAATAAAGTTAAAATACATATCTCATGTGACATATAATTAGCATCAAACAAATAATATAATTCTCATTCTCAAGGATTAAAGATTAAACTGAAAAAAAAAAATAATAATAATAATAATAATTGCATAACCACCAATTAGGTGGTAAATGACCTTTGAACAGAAAAATAATAAAAAAGCAGTATGGCGCGCAATTCTTAGCATCTGTTTCCATACTGCCTCTTCAAGTCATCGCTCTGTTGAGAATGTCTTGTGTGTTAACCAGGAACATACATGAGTGCATCTACTTAAATGAGACCTTTAAATTTTCTGAGCTTTAAAAAAAGAAACCTTTGTACAATGACTTTTTTTCAGGAACAGGGAGAACAACAGTGGCAAGAAAATTAAATGTGGCACTGGATGAGAAAATAATAATAAAGAAAAGAGATGGAGTAAATGAAGAGAGATGGAAGGAGAGAGAGATTATCAGACGTTACTGATACTGAGTGTGAATCAATCACCTACTGCCGCTGATTGTTTGCAGAGCCATTAGGAACAGTGTTGGGCCTGTGAAAAAAGTACATCTCAATTAGGGTAACCCTCTGTTCATGAGGATAGTGACTGGTGTGGGGTGGCATTTGTGTCACTATTGAGCTATAGCCATTGTAAATGCCTAAAATAATTCAGGCTCTAGTGAAAATGAGGGAAGAAAAAGCCTTGATGCAGACTGAGAAATTTAAAATGAGCTTTTGACTTATAAGCTTGTAAAATTACATTAATGTAAAAAGAAGTAAAGTAAATTAAATGTTATATTACATGAGTGAAATAGGCATTGTATTTAAAGGCACAACATGTAAGATTTTTTATTAAAATACCAAAAACCACTAGAACAGTGTTATATATTTTGCTGACTTGTGTACTTTATCCCAAATGTTTTGAAGAATGTTTAAATCCAGAGAAATAAGCAATTTTAACTAGTGACACGGACCGTGTCCATAGTGTCATTGTGTCGCCTGCCAATGACATCATAACCCCTCGATTTCCGTTTTGTTTTGTAGAAAACATGGAAACACCAAAGACGCTTTAATATGTTGTGCGTTTTAATAGACCGGTGACGACCGCACAGACAGTGTTGGGGAGTAACTAGTTACATGTAACGGAATTACGGAATTTAATTACAAAATAAAAGTAATTGTAATCAGTTACAGTTACTAACAAAAAATTTGTAATTAAATTACAGTTACTTATGAAAATGTTAAGGATTACAAAGGGGGTTACATCTGATTTTTTTCCACACACACTCCCACATACAGATTTAATTATTTCATAAGTTGCAGTGACTGCTCTAAAATATGAAACACCAATGTTTCAGAAGTTTATAACATGCTTATCCGATAGGGTTTATGTATATGCTTTATTTTTTTTTAAGATTAACTGTTTTTTCTAAGGCATTGTTAGATTCCAGTGTTTCCCGCACCCTCCAGCGGCGAAAATTACATATTGTGCCTTTAAGTTGTTTTTGTGAGGACTGTTCTCATAACTCATACTCATTACACAGTATCCTCTTTCAAATCCATGTGTGTGTGCGTGTGTCTGAGGACAGTAACAGGATGATACTTAAATCCCTTTATGTTAATATTGTGGTTTTACGGGAGCAGGCCTATTAATCCTGCTTTAACTGTATAAGTGCTATTATTCCTTCAATAAGATCACTGACTATGCAATATAGGATTAAAGACTTATAACTGATGCTGTCATTTTCATGGACCAAGGAACCTTGAATGCTCTCTGTTCTGACTGTTTGTGTATGTGTGTAGTTTATTCCATGGTGATATATGGAATACAATCTTTAAACCACACAGTTTCATTTTTTTTTCCTAGCTGCAGCACAGCATGCTGGGCCAAACGCTAACTTTAGCTCCAGCAATACGAGACGTTGGTGCCAGTTTCAGAAAGATTTTGAAGCAGCTAGAGCAGCACTCAACAGCACCAGCAAGCTGATAAACTCCTCCAAACAGTTTGAGTTTAATGACCTGATTCACAACTGTTCTCGCACACCAAAAAAGTTTTAAAAAAGGGAGTTTTGAGTTTATAAAGTGCTTTCATACAGAAATCTGAAAAATCTTTAAATATCAGCATCTGATCTGCTTGTCTTACTTTTGTCTGCACATATAGGGATAGTTTTTCGAAAAATGACAATTCTTTAGACATTTTCATGCCATAGCAAATTAGTATGAGTTTATTTCTGATGTGAAACACAAAAGGAGAAAATATGCAAAAGCACCACAAAAAGTAAATGTTTTATTAAATTATTAATTATTAATTGAATTTCTTATAATACACTAAAGCAACACAATTATGTCTGTTTAATTTAATTATGTGCACTGTAGTTCATATTGTTGGCACTAACTTAAACTGGCCAGGGTAATTCTTGTTTCCAGCTTGCTTTGCATGGGACTGAATGAGGAGAGTAAATATGGAAATTAAGTGTTTATGTGTTTTTGTGCCAAATGATAAAAGGAGTAAATTTGTTTTTAATTTTCAGTTATGTTGGAATTTAGAAGGGGATGTTGGTATTTTGTGATGATAAGTGAAACTCATGCTTTGGTTGGGGATGGCTGCATAATCAATGCTGTATGTTTACTCTTTAAAAAAGGTTCTTTATTGGCATCTGTGATTCCATAAAGAACATTTAATATCCACTGAACCTCTCCATTGCACTTAAGGTTCTTTGTAGTAGAATAAGGTTCTTTAAATGATTAAATTGTTTGTCACACAAAGAATTACATATACAAAATATTTGTGTTTAGTTTACAAAGTACTTTTTTCAAAACCCATATAGGGAAAAAATAGGGTACATTGTCAAGATTTTTAGGGAATATCAAAGCTTTAGAAAACTTTGAATGTGGTGCATATGATGTATGGACTACTTTTATGGAGTTTTTTCCCCCTCAGTCTTTAAGAATTATCTCTCATGGTCCACTGAAAGAAAGTCACACGAGTTTGAAATGACATGAATGTGAGCAAATAATGACATTATTGTCACTGTTCCTTTAAATGACATTATTGGTGACCCTATTGACCCCTACAGCTGCAGTTATGAACTGAACTCCTTAAGATTAAAAAGCATTAAGTGATGTTACTCAGCAGTGAAAGTGTATGGCGGGTGCTTTCCCAGAGCACTGAATTATGGGTTGCTTAACTCAACTAGGCTGAGAGGTCCTAGATGGAGTCAGATAATAGGTCATGTGTCTTCAGCAAAGATCAAGCACTAAACCCTGTAAACCCTGCAAAGCCCTGTAAACTTGCTTCTCTCTGCCCCATTTTTGACCACTGGAGACTCTGTCCCTGTGGGCTGCAAGTCCGACTTTGCCCGCCAGAACAGATTACTTACAGACAGAGAAATAGGGAAAGTACATCTCTTTCTGTGTGTGTGTAGAGAAGAGGCAGGAACGGTGTTAAAAGACTGGTAGAGGGAAGGAGAGAAGGAAGGAGAAAGAGAGAGAAGGTGGATAGCTTGTGGGCGTTGATACTGCCCATGAGGCCATTTAATGGGCAGTTTGGAATGCAGGGAAACGACTCAGCTGCCCTCTCAATGGAATTCGGTGTCTTTGAAAAAAGAGAGAGAGGGAGCAAGCTTGTGGGAAATCCTTGCCTGACTGCTGCTGTGATGTTGAATGTTAGCCTGTTTTATTTCACAGAATGTGGCAAGCACAGACACAGAGACACTCCATTGCTCTAGTGTGACGCTGTGAACCTGCACATTTGCCTGGAAGAGGCCAAGCCCAGGAGGCTTTGCACACAAAACCCATAAAGAGCTCCCTAAAGCACACGTTTGCACTAACACTGCCTCCCTCACTACCCGAAGACTTAGCGTGACCAGACTTGTTCCATATTTATTGCCTCTGTCTGTGGGTCTGTCTACCTATGAGTGTCTCTGTGTATTTGTGTTTGTCTGTCTGTTTGTTTGGACCTGTCTTATGAATTTTCCTATTACAGTACTAGCTATAAGGTTAGTTTTGATATAACTGTGACAGATATTATCACTGGCTAAGGTCTGTCAATAAGCTCATGAACAAAAAGCTACTCTGGGCCTGGGGATATATATATATATATATATATATATATACAGTGGGAACGGAAAGTATACAGACCCCCTTCAATTTTTAG